TATATCCTTCGTTGTATCTGCATCATCACTTGGAGCAGAAATAATGGTCGGTACTGTTCCTTCGTGGTGAATACATTGATCGTGTATTCACTATTATTCAGTCTGTACTCTAGGCTAATTTAATGCCAGACACTCACCGAGTCACCTTTACCTCCTCGTATCGACAGATTTCGAAAGGATCGGTAACGTTGCTACGCCCGGTAACGAGATCATCATGAAACAGAGCAGTGTTGCTTGTATATTTACGAGCCAGACTTTGTACAATGACGTCGAGTAATCATCAGGCAAAAGCAATACCTGTAATTGTATACATATAGGTCCTAAAGAAACTCCACTATACGTCTGTAACAATGAATCAATGTTCCTTACCCCGATAAATTACCGATCACTCGATAAGATTCTTATCTAGCTAAAAGATCGGTTCGCCGATTTCTATGAAGATTTTACAAATTTCACATACACCCGATCTCCATCCGTTATTACCGAACGATCGATGCTGCTCCTTCAACGAGTTCACCTATAGCTATACCGATCGTCGCTGATAACCTTGCCATTTCGATCAACCTGACAAATCGGCAGATCGAAACCAGCAAACATAGAGTACGCGTGTTCGTACATACGTGGATTATCCGTCTATGACATCATGACTCGTGACCGCACCCATGTGAAAGACATCCGGTCGGTTATAGCGGGGTAGCCTCACGTGAACCAGGAAGTGTCCGGAAGTGTATATTTTGTATAATGAACTCTTAAGACAAATCGGTACTGTACATAAAAATCGTGACGGGGCATTGTCATGGCTGCGCAAGGTCTTGCGAATAATTAATAGTGATCAAGTAAGTTGACTTACTGGAGTTCACGGTAGGACCTAGTCGGAGCTGCTTTAGTTTTACGAGCCATTGTACACGAGGAACGTTTGATGTGTAGACAAGATAGGAGCATCGATTTTACGATCTATCGGTATCGTAAAGCTTCTGGCGAATAGCTTTGGTAATATACATATATATATACACAGTGGCTACCGATAGGTCGTTTTCAATATATTGATACTCAACACGCGTGGGTATATATGGTGTTTAGATTGAATTAAATTAGAATGTTAATAAACTGATGATTTACGAAACTCATCACGACAGCATCGAATTAGCACCTTTATCTATCATTTCCTATCATACTGATTCTACTTATATATATATATATTACGTATATTACGTAGGTTTATTTGACGGGAGTGTTCTTTTCGTAAGGTATGACGATCTTGATACGCATTTGCAGCCTCATCGCCTCCTGCTGAGCGATTGGGATTTCAGCTGGGCGTTACTCGCCCTGTTATGTAAATCCCGTGGGGTATTAAAGCAGCGAGAGGCAGATAAATTTTGGCAAGCAGGGAGGATTATAAAACATTCGCATAAAGTAATCGCGAGTCGAAAGCTTACAGCTATAGGAGAATTATATATCAGCAGGCGGGCAGGGAATTATTGTTTAATTGTCATCGTAACCATGGTTACGGTGACAGTGGTGTGACACCTTGGAAAAAGAAAGTCCATTACTATGTCTACAGAATGGCGCAAGGTGCAAACCGTGTCTGGACCGATATTCTTGGATTTCGTAGAAAAGCAAAAGTAATTTAGAAACAAGAAGAAGCGGCGGTGGAAATAAGAAAGAACCGGGAAAACCTTCTCATAGTGTTTTTTTTATTATTTCAAAGTTTATAATTTCACGAATATTATACTCATCTTGGTACAATAATATTAAAAAGTAAAAAAATTCAGTTGAGCATTCCTTCGTTGGCACTTACAGAGTTTACTGACCATTTGGTCTGTTATGGCAGGGATGCTTACCGATACGTTCTCCAGGTGCCAATCTAACTCCTGCCAATTTATAGGGCCCCTTGTGGCGATTCACGAGGCGGGGACGATTGACTCTAATAAGACGTTACGCAAGAGCGATTATCCTCTCAATAAAAGAAAAGGGGTCCATTTTTATTTTATTGGGCCACGAATCGACTTTTACAATAGCGACATAATATTTAAAAATCGAGAGCACCCATACATGCGTACCTAGTCACACTGGCTTATGTGTTATTTTGGCTTGTACCGAGGGGCCCAATTTTGGGGTCTGAATATTCTTACTTTCTCGGGGGCCCAGACGTCAACGCTATGCCGAAGAGACATGCTCGTTACCTTTGTTGGATATGATTATGCATGAAGGTTCGCTAACTAAGTAACTGCCAGAACTTATTTCTATTCAGATGTTAATACGGTCAGGGTTTAAGAGAGCGTCTCTCTTAACTAAATTACCATGCTGTGTCCAGCGTAACAACGATTCATGTGATTCTTGCTCCTTGCCGTATATCTACATACGATTGCACGTGGATTTATAACAGACTCGTTAGACCGTACATTTAACCATTCATTTAAACAACGTAGAACCTGATTTGCCAGAGGAAATTGAAATTGCGATTAACGCAATTAATGTTACTCGTCTGTCCAGAACCAGCGGAGGTTTCAATTATCACGTCAATTGAGGTTAAGGTCGAGTACTTTGACACTGGATTACTACACTTTCAGGTGCAATTAAATTTAAAAAAAAGATGATGAACAATTTTACGTCAGAGCAGACACTTAGTATTCATATACGGATATGAATATATATCTTACGACATTAATAGAATTAATTATCAAAATTCCATCTTGATTCTTCAATGATCTATTGTTTAACTGAGTTATTGCGAAATTTTTTCTTTTATCATAGCTCAATAATAATGCTCATTTTTTTATTATCCTATACCATTCCCATGTTGCATGCTTAAAGTTGTAGGTCTGTTGCACAGACTTCCGATGTCGTATAAAGATATGAGGATTCATACCCCCCCTCCATCCCCCTCTTCATCCTTACCCACCTTCACCACGTGAGGTCAGACTGGTTAAATTACAAAGTACAGTGTACGACTTTTCTTTTGCATGGGAAAACGTCTGATTATCTCAGAACAAGTTATGGCTGTAGCTAATGGGGATGTTTACGTCCTTAACAATTCAGTGAAACTGAGAATAATACTGAAGTTTAACGAAACGATTAGAGCGAGTGCATACTATATAGCCAATTAAGAATGCAACTGTCCGTTGCAACTGCATTTCGTAAACGGACTACGGAATATCCGGTACAGAATAGATTTCGTATCGTACGTGAGTTATCGTTATATATCGGTAAGATTCGCAATGCTCGATCCAATTCTAAATGGATCGTCATGGAGATCTTTAGGATCATTGTCTCAGTAGATAAATCAGATAGATCCTCCTGAATCCATGGCGCGGTAAAATCCAAGGCGAACGTGACGATGGACGTCAACGATCGCATTTAGATCCGATCACGTAATCGTCAGTGAGATCGATCACGATTGCTATTGATGAACGATCGTCGGGATAATCAACGCTATCGTGAAAACAATTTCGCAAGACAGTTATGCGATCTTGTCTGCCGGTTTCTCATGGATTCTTGACTCGGATGACTGGGCCGGAAAATAAAAGAAAAACCATTGCCAAATACCGATCTAATACCGATACAATTGGTATATCGATGTAGCTCAAGGTTTTGCCTATGGGAATCGTTTTTACCTTTATTAGAATACCGATCATCTTGAGTTATCGATCTTATCGATTTATCGATTATTCTTGTATCTATAGTTATAACATTCTATGAAAATTCGAAATCGCGATAGCTACATGAGAACGTTAGCTGTTATGAGCCAAACTAACGTATATATATATATACTCGTGCAGGAGTTTGAATACCTCATGTAAAATATACTAAACGAAGAGTTAAGGCGCGAACGTTTCAACGCCATCATGAAAGAATTATTCTCAGAGTACCTCGAGGAATAATCGGCAGCAATTTCACGTTGGCTAAACGATCGGCAGCCATTATAGAACGCAGGTAACCCATAACGTTTCCGTATCTTTTTCCCGAACCACTTAAAGGATCTGCTAAACTTATTTTAGTCGTTAATTAGATAATATTAAAACTGAACATCATGCGAGTCAAAAACATAAACCCAAAGATAGCCAATATCTATTATAGTACATACAGAAAGTTTCAGATTTCGTATAATATTTGTCTAAAAATCTCAGTCCTAGATCTGTATATCACGTAAAAATAAGGGCAGTGCTTTCATACGGTTGGCAGAGGCAAAAGATCGACATACCGAAACCGAAAGTACGATCGATCGAATGTGTCCCTGAACCGAACGGGTTCCCATAAATTTACAGTTAATCAGTACCGATAAATCGGATACTCCTCGAGACCAGATACAAGACCCGTGTGCATATGTTTTTTATATGTATATATAGCACAGTGCAGTAAACAAAAGTATTGTTTACAGTGCGACAAGAAATCCAAGCATACCCTAGGAGGGTTTTAAATAGCATAAAACACTGGAATGGAGTCATTCGAGCGAATAAAAGCAACGACGATAAGAAGGGCATGCTTGTTCCACTGATCGGTTACAAGAACCGGCAAGGAACGGCGTATGCGGACCACCCGATGCTCGGACGCACAAACCTGTCTAACGGATAAGCATTAATTTGTCGAACACAGGCTGCCTATTATTCATGAACGAGCTGAACGATTAGTCAAAGCTTCGACGGGATAGCGCTCCATAAATTAGAAACAGTGCAGCGTAATGTACTTGAACTTCGAAATAGATCCCAGTGTAGATTTACTATGAGATTATCTCATTAAGATATTGATTATCGGTAGAGATAGTTGTCTGGTTAAATTTAATAAGATCTTCGTGACCTATATTATTATCTAGTTAAATTATTCTTACCCCTTTTCCATATATTTCACGATGCTCAAATGTTCTATGCGCAAATTCAGGGTGTTTCTGTGTGTGTGAAATCCCCTCTCTCCCACACGCCACTTCTACGGCAACGAAGCGAGGTGCTTTCATGCGCGCGTATAAAACCAGTGAAAGCGTCTCGCGACCCTCCAGACTACTTCACAGTCTGACAGCGATAGGAGCTCTGCCGAGATACCTCCGGTAGACCTAGACCTTTTGTTAAACGTCTCGGAATTCATTGATCCGATTGAATTATACTCTTGTTGAATTCAAAATTAAACATTGAGATCTCAATTTTGTTCTTACTGAGATTTTTGTTTGGATAGTTTTTTTTCTTCTGGTAGTACCGGGTGGTCAATTTTGAAATTTTTGTTAATCGATATTCGCGCAACGCGAGAGTTTCCACGAGATAATTTAGAGCAGGAGTGAAATCATGAAGATCCTGATATTCATCTTCGGACTGATCCTGGTCAATCAAGTTTTGGGATACCCGACCCAGGAGCGACTCATGCCAGGTAGGTGACGCTTGTTGTTGCGTGTATTTGTTTGTCATAATTTTTCTTTGGAGAGAGTTCAGTTTTTGGGAATCAGGATGATAGAGAGTAGAGAGTAAAATGGTAAGGAAGTTGTCGAAGTGACTTATGGATATTAAAAATCGATGATGGATCGAGTTGAATGATCGATAAAAAATATCTGAGTAAAGGCACACAAGGGGGAAAAGAGAAATGATATATTTTGATATTAAATAACGAATAAGTTATTTATTTAATCTGAAATATATTAAATAAATAACGTGAAATTTTCTTTGAAACGATAATATATTCATAATCGATCATTACCGATAGTTTCGATTCAATATATTTAATGATGATTATTAATCGACTGTCAAAAATCATTCCAGTCTCCTTTGATCATTCACAAATCCCAATTGTAACTTATCAATCGCGAACGCATTTCTCTATATAGCCAATAAGAGTTCCAGCTCAAAGATACCGATCACGCGGACCCGCAGGACTGTAAAATAATCATACAAGCCCACCAGATACAAAGAAATACACAGTCCAGATGATAATCGTACAAGATCGATGTTAACCAGTATGAAAAAAAAAACAAAAGAAATCAAAGAAAAAAAAATCCGCGATCGGATAATTAATAGCGTCCACTCGAAATTCATTAACTCGGTTATAGCAGCAGCGAATCGGTTGCAAATTGTTGGATTTATTATCCTATCATGGCCACGGGAGTCCGGTTTTTTGACGGGCGCCAAAAGATACTTGGCATTTGACACCTTTGCATGTTGCTGTGTTGTACTTCCTCCTTGGAAGTCGGTTACCGGTCTATCAATAAAGTCACGCATGTCTCTCGCGTATAACGATACGGATCGGCAAATATCCGGATCTTGTGCGGATGAAAAAAATTAACTAAACAATAATCTCCAACTGTGTACACAAAGGAACTTTGTAAAAAAATGCCATTACGACAGCGCATATATTCATACGAGTATACCGATCACCGGTACAGGTATACGTCAAGTCTCTCCTACTCTCTCGGACACACTGAACTACCTTAAAATCGTTATAGGGAATAATTACGTTTAACTCTCGTTCGTTCTTTCGCTACTCCTGACACTTTCTCACTTTGTTCCACGACATCCGTTTGTCTCCCCGTCACATTCACCTTCTTCGCTCTCGTCTCAGGAAAGTGGAACACTTCCTTCTACAGACGTTAATCTCAATCTCCACGAGGATAGATAAGTGTCTACAAGAAATATGCACGTAAGGATTTAAAAGCGATAGGAACCATTATTAAAATTATAAAACTTAATTTTTCTTTTTCGTGCCGGTACTTACTTTTTGTGTTGATTATTAAAAACCGATTCCACTATACTTGATATATTTGAACCAATTTTTTTGCTCGGGCCCCTATACCAACGTAACGTCACTTACAGAGCACAGCACGTGTAAGAGGGAAAAAAAAATATAATACAAAAGAAATTTAAGTAACCCTGTGCTCTTCCGGGTGGACGAATCGGTGCTTATTTAATTTGCCACTGTATGTAATTAGAATGGAGATACGACTGGTCCATTCTATTAATAGTATCCGTCTTTGAAGCCAGTACACTGTGTAGCCACGAATTATAAAAAATTATCCTTTCTCTTATACCGTCTAAGGTACATCCTTATCCATGATTTTCGACGGCTGGTCAATTTCGTTTGATGTACTACCCTTCTTATGGGTATTTATGGCGTTACAAACAATTACCTATTACCGTCTTATACCCTACCGCTACGATGGAAACGACAGAATAGATTGACATTAGCGCAATTCCCATTCAACGGTACTAGAGCGCGGCTTTATTTATGGAGAAACATGATGCACGATTTTTACATATATATATACAATTATAAAGCACGTATCCACCTTACGGTACTTATCTGTATAAACCTAGAACGCATAGACACGATCGGTGGCAAGTTCCCATTGAAACGACACCGGTAATGAGATATCAAGTCTCGCGCAACCCGTTTAATTGGTCCCCTGGATTGTTGAAGGTTAAAAATCCATAAGAAGCGAATCTCTCGTCACTAACCATATATACGTATCGTTAATTCGTGACGATTTACTAGATCATTATATATGACAATCATATGTTAACTGACACCTCCTAACAAACAGCATAACCTACGAGCCAATTCGTCCTCCGCGCTTTGTGCTATGATGAAAATGTTTTTTGATTGACATAAAAAAAATAATAATAAAAAAGAAGCCTATCCTTCGCTCTCGTATCCCGTACATACCAGTGCCAACCGAACTCTTGGCTGTCCTATATCCTCTTGAAGCTAACTTCCCTCCCATGGTATACAAACCATCTCCTACAGTCGATCCAATTTTCACCAGCTTATACTTTCCTCTCACTAGACAACGACCCTGGTAGCTCTACGGAAATGTCGACACTGGTGCAAGACCAGGTTTTATACGATCCTGATGCCGAGACGCGTACAGTCACTGTAGACTCGATCATGTGGAGCAAAAGGATAATTTAACCTCGTGCAGGAACACGTGGCTGGATGCACGTGACTACGTATCCTCAGCTGCACGTGCTGCAGCGACTCCTTGACGTCCATTGATTCCAGTAGTAAAAAGAGAGAAAGGTGCGAACGATTCACCCGGTATATATGCCATTCGATACAAGGGAAAATGAAGGATAGAAGACGACTGATCCGTTAGACGATTCATGCTGGATTATTTACGTGATATACGTCACGTGTCACTTGGTCACGTGCAATTACACGATACTGGTACTCGATTGCTTAGTCACTTCGATTCACGAGACTTCGGTATCATCCTGTCAATTAGCATCTTCAACCGGAAGATACTACACGGTATACCGTGCGGTTTAACGTCCTGTACTAAACGTCATTGACATTGATCTCGACTCGCGTAAACGTGCGAGTCGCTTATGATTATGCAAAGCGGCGAGAAAAAAAGTGTATGCACTTTAATACGCGGATGTTTCCTAGTTAGCGGAATACACGAATCATCTTTCTCGGTGAAGTCTGGCCTTTGGCTTTTTTTCTTTTTGTGGAATAATGGATGAAATTGTTTGCGGTCGCATAAGGGTATATACGCTATATACCTGTGTAATGGATTATTTGCGCAGGAACGGTATGTAATTACGAATTGTTTTTTTTTCTTTGTGCGCACGTATGTCTACCTGTTGCGCTTAGGAAGGCCGAGTATGGGAATGTGTGGAAGTCGAACGGTTGATGTGGGGACCTGGTCGGTTGGAGAGATATCTTTAAGTGTCTCGGTGATTCGATAGATTTTGCTGAGATTGGCTTGAGTTATCTATAAGGCGATATATAGAAATGGCAAATGCTCGAGCTCCGCCCGATACGCGTTTATATTCGAGGTATGCGTGCGGCTAAATAGCACACGCGTTTTCTTGATTGGTTTGAATACGTTCAATTATGACACTTTAATATAAATTCAATTTCACGGTTGATTAGGCGTCGCGTGCGGGAAGTGTGTGTTATATGATTTTTTTTTTTGAGAAAAAAAAAGTTCACCATTGCTCAATCCTTACCATTGTGTGACGAAGGTCAATTATTTTAAGTCTTGTAATTACTGAAATATTAAGAGCGAGTGTTAGGAAGAATTTTTTGATAGACACTCCATCAGTCACTTATCCGTTTGTCTGTTACGTTAATGGTTACAGTGTATATTTATGTATACGAAAGGATGGAATTTTATTCAAATTCAAATATTGGGCCTTAGTCGGGGCCTTTTGAAAATCTATCCAGAGCAACAGGAGGTTATGGCCCCGAGTATACAAGGTCCTGTGAAATGATGACTCCGATAAACTTCATATTTATTTCTATGTGTGCTGGTATCAAATATTCTCAATGCGGGCCTTACAGCAGGTTCATTTTTTAACATTGACCTTGTCAAGACCCAACCGAGCTGGTGCGATCATTCGCGGATAATTTGATTGGTCGAAGGTCCGGATTAAATGATTTAGGCATTGGGCCTTAAGCGGTGCTCATTTTTCAGTTCCTAGTTCTTCGTGTGTGGCTCAATGTCTATTTAAAGATGAAATTTCAATTAGGCATAAATCCTTTCGACGATCAGCCATCTCTCTCACTCTCTCGCCACTTGACGAAGATTGACGTGATCGCCAAGGATCGATCGTCGATCCATCAGCCAGATCCACGGGTAAGCGTACCACGTTACAATGTCCCGCATACGTATGACAGAGTTTTCTCACAGACGGCATAGAATATTTTCTGATTCAAACATCAACTTTCTATGCACCGTTCCGGCAAATGTTATTAGCGTCAATCAACTATGCAGTTTAACAGCAAAACGGTATGTTAATGACGCCAGACAGAAAGGTGGTTCGTACAAGCAATTAACATTGTTGACCTGTCTCGCCATTTCACATGTGCCTTGATTTATAGAGCCTTTTAGGACGACGCATGGCATTTCAATTATTTAACAAACTTTTTTTTTTTTTTTTTTTTTTTTTTTTTTTTTTTTTTTTTTTTTTTTTTTTTTTTTTTTTTTTTTTTTTTTCATGCACCGACACATTCTCCACTGCCAATTATTGTCCTAGAATTAGAACCGCAGCCTGCACGGCGGCCAATGCGAATATTTTTTTTCACTTTGGAAATTCGCCAATCGACTTTCCCCACTTTGCTGTCTTTCCACCTGTCGCTATTTTATCCTACAGGCGGTACCCCCGTTCCCCACCTAATTACACTAATCTAAAATTTCATACAGGTCTCATTGAAGGATATTTAAGAATTATCATTAAACCAATGATGGATTATAAAATGTATACGTTATACAATAATCAGTGATACTTAAGTTTGAGCATTCGCCAATTTTGAACCATTAATTATATAGCGATCTGTAACGCTCCAATGTAACAAGTTGGCGCTTTGGTGAATTCCGTCTCCATAAAAATAATATACGTTTCTTCGAGCATTACTATATACGTATATATTTGTTA